GGTGATAGATGATAGATAGATGATAGATAGATAGATGACGATGATGATAGATAGATAGATAGATAGATAGATAGATAGATAGATAGATGATAGATAGATAGATAGATAGATAGATAGATAGATAGATAGGGGGGGTCTATGAGTCAAATTTGTGTCCCCAAATGCCATTCGGTGTGGGTCCATCCACTGGAACCTGGTTAACCTATCAGGGATCATTACAGAAGAGGAGGCAGAAAGATTTTAAGAGTCAAAGGAGGTGGATGACCACAGGGAAACAGAGTTTTTCAGAGAGCTGATCAGTTACTCATATGAGCTCACAGCGAGCTCACAGCAACAGTGACAGCACGCACAAGTCCCGCATAAACTGAAGCCAGACAAAATTCCTGCATAGACATGGGGAAGTGGGTAAGAAACCCCAACCCTACCTAAGGAACTATTAGAAACCAATGGCTGCTGGGAGGAGGAGAATCAGTCTCTGTTTTTGAGACAGGGTCTCGCTATGTTACCCAGGCTGATCTCTTACTCGTGGCAATCCTCCTGCCTCAGCCTCTCAAGTGCTGGGATCACAGGCATGCACTACCCACCTGCTATCCCTCAGTCACTGGACCTGTTCACCTCTCCAAACCTCAGTTTCCCCATGTGCAAAGGGGTATAATGACCATCAACCTCCCAGGGTGGTGACAGGGTCAATGAAGCTGATAGGTAATATCAAATCCAGAACAGCCCATCCTGTAGCCTCAGGCAAGTCCCTGCAGCTTTTCAGCCTCAGTTGCCTCACCTGTCCAGTCGGTACTGAGATTCCACCACCCAGTCAGGCCACAGCACACAAGACAGCATTCACACCCACCTGTCTGCACCCATCTCATTGCTCATTGGAGGCACTGGGGAGCCACTGAGGGCGTTATTGGGAGGGATGCTCACCATGCCCAGGAAGTCATTTTTGCCCACCATGTCCCAGTCCCACAGTTCCACACGTAGTGAGGACATGGTCCCTGGTGCCTCCCGAAGCTCTAACACCTCATCCCAGCGTGGGAAGCGGGTCTTCTTGATTGTCTGAGGGCAGAAGGGGGCTGTGAGTGGGAGATCTCAAGATGTCCCACTCCTCCCCACCCCATTGTCCACTCACTGAGGTCTCCAAGCTCTGGTTGCCCCAGAATACACGTGCAAACGGGTCCGACGTGCCAGAGATGTCCCGGGGAGCCAGGTCCCTGAGAACAGAGGAAGAGGCAGAATGTGGTCACAGGCCTTCAAGGACCCAGTGCTACTGGATAACTTTGGTTGTCAGCTTGGGTAAAGGGAGCCTCAGTTGGGGAATTCCTCCATTGAACTGGCCTGTAGCCATGTCTATGGGGGTATTTTCTTGATTTTTTTGAGTGATGAGGGAAAGCCCAGCCCACTGTGGGCAGTGTCACACCTGGGCAGGTTGACCTGTATTCTATAAGAAAGCAGGCTGAGCATGGGTCAGGAGAGAAAGTCAGTAAGCAGCATTCCTCTATGGCCTGTGCTCTAGCTCCTGCCTCCATGTTCCTGCCCTGAGCTCCTACCTTGGGCTCCCTCAGTGATGAACTGTGACCCAGGGGATGTAAACCAAATAAGCCCCTTCCTCCCCAACTTGGTATTGGTCAGAGTGTTTTGTCACAGCAATGGAGAAACAAACTAGAACAAACCATAACCACAGTGGACCTTGGAAAGGGGGCTCAATATAGATCATTCAAATGTCACTGGTTTCCAGGGCAACAAGCCCTTCTGCCACAGGAGTCCAGCCCAGGCCATCACTGCACCCATGAAGACCCGGAAGCTTTCAGACACAACAGTCCTATGGAGAAGCATGAGGATACCCCTGCCTTCCAGAAGGAGAAACTGAGGCATGGAAAGGTCAAGCTCTGTGCCAAAAAGCCCAGCAAGGGCAGGTGCAGTGGGAGGGAAATGAAGCCTCAGTTTCCCTAGAGACCCTACCTGGGGAGCTACACACAGGCAAGAATCTAAAGCCTGGCCTGGCACTAAGTGGCTGAGCGACATTAGAAAAAGTCACCTCTTTCTCTGAGCCTTACCCCCCCAAAAGAGAACAGTGAGGGAACGAGCTCACAGGGCAGGGGTCCAATGAGATAGCATGGGCAAGGCACTTAGCTCAGGACCCAGCTCAGCTCACTTATTCATTCAACAAACACCCATGCCCACACCTTGCTTAGGAACAGAGAGAAGGTATGAGACAGAGACCTCCTGCCTTTGGTTGCCTTGACAACACAAAAGCCTCACCTGTGTCAGTTTTACCAGTCCCCCTCTCAAGGCCTCCAAATCCAGGATCACCACCCCCCGACCCCCAATAGCCAGGGGCTGTTTCTTCCTCCTGCTTGTTTCCCAGCCTTTCTGGGCATCCAAAGATTTGGTTTCCTAGGAGCCAGCACAGTTGCTAAGCGACAGCAGTCTGTTCCTCTCCTGCTTGCAAGGATTCTGTACAGCCTAGTGTCTGGGGAAGGGGCCATGGGCAGAACAGTAGAGGAGTTCAAACCCCAAGGCACAATCCCTCAGCCTTGCTTCATTCCTCATTTATAATTCTACCCCATCCAGCCAGGGCCAATGCTCGAGCCAAAAACTCAGAAGTGGTAGGAGAGGCTCAGAGAGGGCAAGGAAGGAACTTACAGTCACACAGCAAGCCATAAATTGAGACTGGCCCCAATCTGAATGAGCAGGGCCTAACAGTGAAGGTGGAGGAGTGAGGTGTGAAGGGAAGGCAGAAACACAGGGTATCACGAGATGAGAGGGACTTAAGAGAGCAGCAGGAGATGATGTGAAGAGTGAGGAGAGAGAGGGATTTGAGAGGGAGGCAGGCAGGAGAGAAGACAGGTGTCCAAGAAGGTGTCCTGAGTGGGTTTCTGGAGGGGCACCTGTTTGCTCTGCTGGTCCTGTGTCTGTTAGTGTTTGGCTTCTCCTCGGAGACAGGATGGAACCGTCTCTCCCTCTCAGCCCACAGAGCTCCTTCCTCCCTTCCAGGAATTCACTTGGGCCCGGCTAAACGACCAGTCGGTACTACTGATTCAGAAACAGGTGTGGGCTTCATGCTGAGTCACTAAGAATGAAGTCCAGGGTCTACAGTGATAGAAGTCCTTGGTCAGCTGTAGCATGGAAGCTGGTAAAACACCAGCCTGAGGCCCTGAGGTCTATCTTGTCCTCATTCAGGGAGAGACTGCCTGATGTCACCATCTGGGCTCCTGGATCCATCCATGCCTGAAGCCACACGGCAGGTCTATGAGCCAACAGATTTAGGTCTTTGGCTTAAACAAATGAAAATTAAGTAACAGTCTGTTCATTTTTTTTAACTATTTATTTTTGAAATAGGTGTCCTATCAGGGATAAGCAGTCCTTGAACAGGACACCTATTTGAAGCCTCTATCTCAGGAATCATTGCAGAACAGGAGGTGGAAAGACTGTAAGAGCCAGAGGGGGTGGATGACCACAAGGAAACAGTCTTCTAGACATCTGGTCATTTACTCATACGAACTCACAGCAATGGTGACAGTACGCACAAGTCCCACGCAAGTTCAAACCAGACAAAATCCTAGCATAGGCATGGGCAAGTAGGTAAAAAATCCCAACCCAGGCTAAGGTACTTTTGGCAATTGATGGCTGCTGGGAGGGGGAAAGATAGGATCTTACGGGGTGGAACTCTTGGTGGGCCCAGTGGATAGACCCACACTGAAAGACATTTGGGGACACAAATCAGACTCCATAAGCCATATTACAGCACATTAAATTGGGTGGGGCAGTGGAGAAAGCTACGGATAGGGGAGGGCATCTAAATACCATCAAATTATATTGTCTGAAAATTGCACACTCAATAAAAAAGAAAAAAATATTATTTTTGTCTTTGCGGGTGGTGGGTGTGTGTGTGTGTGTGTGTGTGTGTGTGTGTGTGTGTGTGTGTGTGGTGTTTGACTGTGGGTAGATGCACGCCACAGCACACAGGTAGAAGTCAGAGGACAACATTCTTAGAAGTCAGTTCTTTCATTCCATTGTGGGTTCCAGGAATCGAACTTAGGTCGTCGGGCTTGCACATCAAATGTTTTTACCCACCGAGGCTTCTCATCAGCCTTGATGTATTAAAATTTGGTGACTACATCCCCACACTCATGTGTCTGGCCACCCCGAGTATGTAGCTGGTTGTTGCTGGTCCCTGGGCACCCCAATAAGATTTTGCTTTGCAAACTTGATACTGGTGAGCCTGAACTGTTTACAAAGTGGGGATCCTGGCTGTGAACCCAGAAGGGATATAAGTGTGAGAGGGCCCCACAGCCAGGCAGCACTCCTGCCTGGCTTGGGTTTGCCCATCTTTATGTATGTATATGTGTTTGTGTGTGTGTGTGTGTGTGTGTGTGTGTGTGTGTTGAGACAGGGTCTCTTGTAGCCCAGGCTGGCTGTGAACTCCCTATGTAGCTGAAGATGATCTTTAATTCTTGATCCTCCTGCCTCCATCTCCTGAGTGTTAGGATTACAGGCATACACCACCATGTCTGGTTTATAAGGTGCTGAGGATGGAGCCCAGGGTCTTGTGCATGCTAAGTGAGCACTCTGCCAACTGAGCCACGTCCCCAGCCCCTCAACTCACTTTCAGACGCCTCACACATCTCCATGGTGAGCATACCTGGCTTGTCTCACGTGGCAGCGGAGGCAGCGGCCCCTTGTGTCCTCCAGCAGTTGCACCTCCAGGCAGACCTCACCCTGAACCTCTGCATCAGGGTCCACTCGACTCAGGTTGATCCAGCTGTCGATCCCTGGAGGGCACACAAGGTCTTTGGGAAGCTCCTGGCACACGCAAGGCAGGGTTAGCTCAGAACTTCCACTAACAGTGACCTCGCAGGATGCCAGTGGCTTCTCACAGCCTTGGGTGCCATCTGCAACCCATGTCCAGAGGAGGAAACTGGGGTGCAGAGAGGAGACCACCTCTGCCCTTGACCCCCCAGCTAGGAAATGGCAGAGCTCAATTCTGAACACCAGCTGCACAGCTGAGCCCTTCCATCGCCCCCAGCATCTGGGATATAAAGTCTCTGTCACTAACCCCTCCCCTGCTTCTCCCCACACTTTGAAGACACTGTTCTATTGACTTCTGGTTCCTACTGACGCTAAGAAGTCAGCATTCAGACTAGTGCTCTTTGGTAAGCATCTTTTCTTCCCACTCCTTTTCTTTTTTAAGAAAATTCATTTTCATTTTATGTATATGAGTGTTTTCTCTGATATGCGAAAGTGTACCACATGCATGCAGTGCCTGTGGGGGCCAGAAGAGTGTGCTCGATCCCAGGAACTGGAGTTATAGATGGCTGTTGTTACCTGTCAGGTAACCTGCTGGGGATTGAACCGGGGTCTTCTGTGAGAGCAGTCCCCCCTCCTCATTTATTTATTTACTTATTTAATTTAATTTATTTGTTTTTGGATCTTTTTGAGACAGGGTCTCCCTGTAGCCCCAGCTGGCCTGGAACTCACCATGTAGATCAGGCTGGCCTCAAACTCATAGAGATCCACCTGCCTCTGCCTCCCAAGTGCTGGGATTAGTGCCACCATGCCTGCCCCTTCCTCCTTTTTCAAATTCAGCATCTCATTATACAGCCTGGTATCCCTGATCCTCTGCCTCTGCCTCTGCCTGTCTCCTGAGTGCAGGGATTACAGAAATGTTCAGCACACCTGGCTCAAATGTTTTAATATTTTGTTGCCATTGCTACCCATTCTTGGGAGCACATCTTTTTATCTCCCTTAAATATTTGACTTTTTAAAGCAAGTATAACTGTGGTTAACGTCAATTTGACATAATCTAGTATCACTAGGGAGATAAATCACTTGGGAGATAGGCTGCAGGGCACACCAGTGGGAGGTTATTTTGATTGTGTTAACTGATGTGGAAAGACACGTGATAACTGCAGGATGCCATTCCCTGGGTAGCAGATCCTGGACTCTGTAAGGGAAAAAGTGAGCTGAGCACTAGATGTATTCATCCATCTCGGCTTCCTGATTGTGGATGTGATACGACCAGCTCCCTCAAGCTCCTTCTGCCTTGACTTCCCCTCCATGATGGACTGTATCCTTCAATGTGAGCTAAATAAACCCTTTCTCTCTTAAGTTGCTTTTGCCAGAGTATTTTATCACAGCCACAGGAAAAGGAGCGAAGACAGGAGCATACTGACAGCTCTAGAGTCAGGTCTGGACGTGGCTATGGCTTCTGTAGACTCTCGTAGTACTTGCTCCCTTGTGTGCTTTGTCCTCTTTGTGAATTCATGTTAGCTCATCTCTCTCTGGGTGAACCTCAAGGAGACTCTGATCATGTGCTGGGGTGCTGGCTGCTGTACCCAGGGCTTCTGTGTAGCAATTCCTTCCCAGATAAGATTTCCCATCTTGGAGGGAAGCTGCTTTTACACAGGATGTTCTAAGCTGCCTGGAAGAGACAGACCAGCCAAGCTGCCTGAAAAGACACTCCAACCTGGTGAGCTGCCTGCAGGTTGTACAGGGCCTTCTAGGTTTCCTGTTTCATGAGCTGTCACCCACGCTGGGTGGGCTTTGGTAATACAGCTGTCTTTGAGTCGTTTCTGCTCCTGTAAGTACTCCCTCACCCATACTCTGTAAATAACCCCAGTAAAACTCATCTGTTTACCAAGTTGGACTTTGGTGATATCCTTACTTTGGTCTGTCATTGATGTCTGGGGTGAAAAGACATTTGTTCATGTCTTCCCAGGAATAGTGTCACACAACAGAGGGTCTCAGCCTGGGGGGTCCTGGTGTCTGATATCTTCTACCTTGCCCCTAGCCCATGGCTTGGATGCTCTGTTGACCCTGATGTTAACTTTCTCTTTCAGGGAGACCCTTCCTTCACTGGGTGCTGGCTGTTCACCCCTTCCTGTTAAGTTTTAGCAGCTAACTTGAGTGAGGGGGATTAGAAATATGCAGTGATTTTTTTTTTTCTTTCTTTCATTTTTTTTCTTTTTGACAGGGTCTCCTTGTAGCCCCAACAGGTCTGGAACTGACCATGTAGACCAGGCTGGCCTCAATTTCACAGAGACCTGCCTGCCTCCCGAATGCTAGAATTAAAGATGTGTGCCACCACACCTAGCTTTGGGATTTCTTTCTTAACAGCATGTACAACAATGTCCTGGAAACCTTTACTAACTTGGATCTCCATATCACAGGGAAGGAGGTGCCTCTGGGGATCTAATCCCCCATGCTGCTGGACATGGAAGACCTTCCTCTGCTCTCCATCTCTGCCGCCATGCTGAGTACAGCATGCTACCAGGATTTGTCACTTGGTCACTGCAAAGACTCTGACTAATCTGTGTCTACCCTCTGTGACAAAGCGGCTTCAGGAATCTTCTGATACTAGACCTCCAACTATCTACCTCAAGAACCATCAATAGCTCCCCATTGTCTTCAGAAGAAAACCAGGACCCCAGCCTAGCTCCTAGAGGCCTTTCCAATTAATCTCTAGCAAGGGCTCCACTTGGCCTTGCTGACACCAGAGTCTGGAAGGAAACCACCTTTAAATATTCCAGTATACATGTCACTCAGGGGCCAAGAGAAATGCACGTAAAGTTGTCAACATCAGAACTGGTACATTACCAGCCCTTGTTACTTAGGAACATAGTGATTACTGTGATGGCTGGCAAATAGTGAATTCTCAACTAATTCCCATGGAAGAAAAACAAAGTGTTAAACAATGCTGAGATAAAAATAATGTTTCAAGCCCCAGTCCACATGGTGCATTTGGATATATTCCAAGTGGATTCAAGAAACAAGCCAAACCTGGTGGTGCATAGCTGTGATCCCAGCATGGGGAGGTGGAGGCAGAGGGATCAGGAGTTCAAAGTCATCCTCAGCTACTTAGTGAGTTTGAGGCCAACCTGGGCTACATGAGACCCATCAATAAAAAGAAAGGAGGGAAGGAAAGAGAGAAGGAAGAAAGGAAGGAGTGGATGGGAAGAGAAGAAAAGAAGAGAAACATATTGTTACTAGAAAGAATCATGCAAAGAGATTTTTTCCCAGTGCTGGGCATATGAGCTCACACCTGGGATCCCAGTGCTCTGGAGTCTTAAGACAGAAGGATCTCAAGTTTAAGGCCAACTTGAGATCCAGAGTAAGACTCTCATAAAAACAAAAACGAGGACTCAAAACCAAAAAACAAAGCTGGGCTCAGTGGTTCACACTTGTAATCTCTGCACTTGGGAAGTAGACGCAGGAGGATCAAGAATTTAAGGTCATCCTCAGCTACGTGCTGAGTTCAAAACAACCTGGTTCCATGAGCTACTGTCCAAAAACAAACAAACAAAAAACCCCAAAACAAAAACCCTGCCTAATGGGGCTGGGGAGGTGGTGAAGTACTTGCCATGCAAACATGAGGACCTGAGTTCCATACCCAACACCCATGTAAAAAGCAGGACATGCTATGTGTTTATAACCCCAGTTCTAGGGAAGTAGAGACAGGCCTACTCAGTGAGCTCCAGGTCCAATGAGAGAGCTTACCTTTAAAAAAAAAAAAAAGGGTAGGCAGAGCCTGAGGAGGAACGCCTGAGATTGCTCTGTCGCCTGCACACCCACAGAGAAACAAGGGCATTTGTACATGAACGCTCCTGTACACAAACACACGCACACACCGCTGCTTAGAGTTGGGAAAGTCTTCTATGTAGAGCAGAAAATCAAGGGGGGCATGGGAGGGATGTGTGCATTCTGAAGCTGATAATGATTTAATTTCTGTAATATGTAAAGAGCTCCTACAAGTTAAAAAGGAAAGGCAAAAAACCTAATGGGCAAAACCACATTTGCAATATGAATAGACAATAGACAAAGAGCACAGAGGCGACTCTCAAACCATGAGAACATGATTGCTCTCATTCTAGAGAGTACAAATAAAGCTGTACTAAAAGCAATTTTTTTACCTAATGGCATGGCACAGGTAAATTATGACCTCAATTTAACAATTACGATCAAATGTGCAAAGGGAGCTGTCGCATAGCTCAATAGTGGAGTCCTGGGTTTGATCCCAGCACCACACACACACACACACACACACACACACACACACAATTACCTAGGTGTGGTGATGCATACCTTTAAGCGCAGCACACTCAGAGGCAGGAAAGGAGAATCTCTGTGAGTTTGAAGCCAACCTACTCTACATAGTGAGTTCCAGGCAGGCCAATGCCACATAGTGAGGTCCTGTCTCAAAAAAAAAAGGCAGGGGGCCTCACTGTGTAGACCAGGCTGGCTTCAAACTCACAAAGATCCTACTGTCTCAGCCTCTTGAGTACTACGATGGCAGGTGTGTGCCACTACACCCTGCTTGGGAATGTAGATTGTCAGTGTCCACCCTCCTTGCTGTGGATATAGCATCGCTCTGCCCCACTAAGATCGGGACAGTGTCCCCACCTCTGCCAGTGCCCAGAGGTGTCCCTTCCTGAGGCATTCTTACTTCCTTTAGCCCCTGAAGTTTGTGGGGTCTGTGATACCAACTTAACTTTTTTTTTTAAGTATGCTTTGATCCTGCAAAACAACTTCTAGACATTTCTCTGACTGATGGAACTGTGTGTGACATGATGTTAGTAAGTGCAAGGCTGCAATGTTGTCAACAACCTAGATGCTTCCATAGCAAGTCAGCCAAGTGCATGATGGGACCATCACAAAAGGAGTGCAGTGACATCATGTGAAGGAAAAAGAAGGCAAAAATCCTTACAGCACTGCTATAGAGAGACCAGAAAGGTGCACTGTGGCTAGCTGGGTGTGCTGACTCATGCCTGTCACCTCAACACTGGGAGTCTGAGGCAAGAGAATTGCCATGAGTTCAAGACCAGCCTCAGCTACATACTGAGTTCCAGGCCTGAATAACCTGTCTCAAAAAAACAAAATATATACAGTCGACATAAAAAGGCAAAGAACAGGGACGAAAGAGATGGCTCAGCATTGAGAGCAAGTACTGCTCTTCCAGAGGACCCGAGTTCAGTTCCCAGCACCCACACTGGGCGGCTCATGACTGCTTGTGACTCCAGCTCCAGGGGATCTGACGCCCTCTTCTGGCCTCCTTAAGTTATCTGCAGTCACATACACATACATGCACATCATTAAAAAGAATAAAAATAAATATTTTTAAAGAAAGGCAAAGTACAGAAAAGTGAGTGTGACACGCTCATGTGAACTGAGAGACACACACATGTACATGCTTACACACACGCTCACCTACACATACATGCACACACATATGTACCCTCTCATGTACACACTCACATGCCCAATGCCCACACTCACACTCAGAGTGAGGCAGGAGGTTCTCAGTTTCTGGGTCCAAACACCCTGGGTCTGATGCCTGGTTGTCACAAAATCTGTACATCTCTGGATGAGTACTTTAACACTTTGTGTCTCAGCTTAATCACCAGGAAAAAAAATGGATACACTATGGGTCCCCACCTCACAGGGTTACCTTGAGAACTGAGTGACTATAGCACGGTTCGGAAGGGCTCAAATGCACTTCTCAGTGTGTCAGTGCTTCCTGACACTGCTGTTGTCCTTGCTTAATGAGCATCAAAACAAAAACAACCCTCCAGCCTGGGGTGCAGCTCAACAGCAGAACATTTTCGAGGCCCTGGATTCATCCCCAGCACTGTCAAAAACTGCCAGGGCCAGGCACAGTGCTGTGCACCTGTAATAGCAGCACCCAGGAGGCTGAGGCAAGAAGATCACCACAAGTTGGAGGCCAGCTAGGGGAGCCCTTATTCAGAAGCACAGAAGAGAAGCCGCTGACTACCAAAGGGCAGGGAGAGGGTTTCCCGCTGTTGGAGTGTGAACCCTGCTCTATGCAAATGAATCAGCTGCTCCTTAATGAGCTGAATTAGAAATTAAAGACAAAAGCAACTGCAGCCGGGTCCTCCCCTGCCAGCTCTGGGCCTCCTGAGGCCACTTCCTCTCAAAGTCACTTTGTAGGCTTCTCCTCCCTTGCCCTGCTCACCTCGTGGGTCGGCTGCAATGGCCTCCTTGCTCAGGGAGATCTTCCCAATGGTGTCATCGTGCCTGGGGAATATGGCAGGGGACAGTCAGATGGGGAACCTCATTTGCCCTCAGAGCACAGAAGTCAGGGGATGAGGGCAACACACTTCCACTTGGGGCCCTCACAACCCCCCCCACCTGCCTGACACACACCCAACCGTGTCTTCGTCCAGTACATAGAAGGCAAGGTGGTGGAAGTCCCGCGGCAGGTGCACGGTGTACTCCTCCCCCCAGAAGGGGCTCAGGCTCCGCCAGACTGTTGCTGTCCTGCAAGAGGAGTGTTGGGCTGGAGCCTCACATGGTCGGAGACATGGGGACCCCCACAAACAGAACTAGGGGATACACATACCCAAGAACAGACACAGCTAGGCATACACTCCTAAAGCCTAGACAGCCCCCACACACACAGGGACACACAGACCCAACATACACACATACCAGAGATTCAGACACATGGGGGCAGAGCCATACGGAGTCAAAATATGTACACACACACACACACACACACACACACACACACACACAGAGGCAGAGAGACTCACTTATATACACCAAGGAAGCCAGATATACAAGAAGACACATTCACATATACACGGGCATCCTCGGAAGCCTCCAGAAACATGCGTTTGTAAATATAGGCATGGTGACCCAGATAGACACAAGCCTGGCACATGCAGACACAGAGATTCAGACATGTGCTCACTAGCAACACACAATCCACAATCACAACACACAGAGTTCTGTTCATTCACATCCTACCCCTCACCCAGACCACCAAGGCATCCTATATGTGTGGTGAACTCACTGAGGCCCAGATGCGGCTTGGCATTGGAAAGAGGGGAGGGAAGTTCAAGGAAGACTTCCCACAGAAGACACTTCGGCAAAAGAAAATGAGCAGGGTAAACTAGAGTTCCAGATGGCTGGAACAGCATGTGTAAAGGCCCCGAGGCAGGCACTAGGAGGTTCCTGTTCAAAGAACAGGAAGGTGTTGTGTGGGAAGGGATGCAGGGGGGACAGGTCAGGCCAGGACACTGCGGCATCCACAGGGTACAGGGCACTCAGGGCTTCACAGCACCTAGCAAGCCAAGGAAACACAGAGGCACCAAGGGCTAAGCCAAAACCAGACACAGGTGCACATACACAGTCAGCAAGGGGACCTGGCACCCCATTGCGCTTCCTTTTACCCAACAGGGAACAAAGATTCTACTTTGCCCAGCAAAGACCCAGCAGACTCAAGTCTACCCAGCTGGCTTCCCCTGCCTGTGACATCCTTCCTCATTTCTTTACACACACACACACACACACACACACACACCACAGAGTCCTCTCTACCTGACCCAGGGAACCACCATCAGATAGATCCTCAGAGCTGCTTCCCACATACCCTGCCCTCCACCCACCAGCCTTATGCCAATTCCCATTACTAGTCCCTGAGCTGTTGGCTCCTTGCAGCCCAGAGAAGGGAATACAGTAGCCTGAAGTCATACAGAAAGCCAGTGTAAGGCTGAGAGTTAGTGACACAGAATAGGTCAAGCATAGGGGAGAGCCACGGAAGGGGTCAACAGGGGTGCACCAGCAGACCCCTCCCTGAGGAATCCCCACCGCAGTTCCCAGCCCATATGGGCCAGAACTAGCACCAAGAGCATTTGATTCCTGATGTCTCCATAGGAACCAAGGCCTCAGCCACAAACCCACCCACGCCCTCACGACTGTGGGGGCTGAGAGCTATCCCTCTGCTTGCGGGGGCAGAAGCCCAGCTCAGACATGCCCCCTCCACACTCAGCGCAGGCCAACACCTGCACATCCTCCTCACACCAGTCTGTGTGCCTACTGAGGCACATGCACACCCTGCACATGGGTACACAAATGAGTCCTGTGGGCCTGTACACCCACATGGACATTCACACATGATTAGAGGCATTTACAACAGATTCAAAGCTCCCAGCTGGGCAGGCCAGGGCACACAAACACACACACACACACGCAGCCCCACTCGAACATTTGTAGACACACATACACACACACACACACACACACACACACACATACACACAGGCACCCGCAGCATCCAGAGGCCCAGAACCAGCCAGCCCAGCCAACCGTGAGATGCCCGCCCCCCCAAGAGGCCACAGGGGGAGGTACAGCATGGTTGAGTCAGCCCCAGGGAGCCACAAGGAAATCATGGGCCCCCTTCAGGTAAGGGACCACTTAATGGGGCTGTGTGGGGCTGCAGCTGGCAGCCCAATAGTGCACCCCGGAAAGGCCAGGACATAAACAGTCCCCTTGAGACCTGCAGGACCCCTGGGGTAAAGGCTGTCTTCCCAGAGCCTCTCTGAGGCACAGATACTCCTTCCTGGGCCCCACCCACTCGCTGATTACGCACCTGGCCACCACCTCGTCATCCACTTTCACCAGGCAGTAGGGGTCACTGCTCCCGGATCTGTAGAGGGAGGAGGTCAGGGAAAGGGTTGGAAGGGCAGACATGGTGGGAGTCCCAATCCTCACTTTACTATTAAGGCAGAGTGAGGCTAAGGCCCAGAGAAGGGAGGGGCCTTACCCTGGGTCACACAGCAAGTCTTGCAAAGAGGCAGGACCTCGGGGAACATGGATAGGTTACATCAACACTGTGAAAGCTATCTATCCACATACTACTGACATAACCTACCCCATACACATACTCTAAGTTTCCACTGTGGGAATGGGACACTAAGGCACAAAGCCACAGTTGGGAGTCCTGACCCCAGAAAGCCCCAAATACTGGTTGAAGGTACATTTTGGGGAGCTTTCCTAGAGATCTGGTTGTGCCTCCCTATTCCTTGCCTTGTGTCCCATCCCATCTGGGGCCTCAGTTTTGTCACTCTGTGACTCCAGCAGACGTTAACACACACCTGGGGAGAGGGCTAAGGTGCTAAAGAGCGAGGTGTAGAGGAGGATCACGGGCTGCCCTGAGCTCCCTGCCACAGTTGGTACCTCAATGCTTACTTCTGAGCTAAGCAGCACCCTGCTCAGCCCACCCTTTTGCTCCTTGTCCTGGACAGGAAGAACCTTCAGACACATACCAGAGACCTCAAAACTGAACCCACAAGAGATGGCTATAGGGCTGATGTGTGACTCAGCGGTGGAGTACTTGCCTCTCTAGCATGCTCGAACCCAGATTCTATCCCCAGCATTGAAAATAAAACAAAACTGGGGCTGGAGAAGTGGCTTAGGGATTAAGAGCATTTACTGTTCTTGCAGAGGACCCGGGTTCGATTCCTAGCACCCACATGGCAGCTAACAACCATCTGTAACTCCAGTTCTAGGGGATCCAACGCCCTCTTCTGACCTCCGCTGGCACTGCACGACACAGGTGCACCTACCTACATGCAAGCAATACACCCATATACATTAAATAAAAATAAAATATTTTAAAAAAAGAAAATAAAACAAAACCCCAAAAGACAAGAGCTATTTTGCCTTTTCGAAGCCCTGAGCCTTCAGCCAAGCAAAGCCAGTTTTCTTCTCCCCCACTTTGTAATAACAATCACCAGTAAATCCTGTCTGCCTACCAGGGTCTTCATTCAAACCTTGCAAAAGTCATGTCCTCAGAGAGGCAGCCCCTGACAGCCACAGTTTAAAATAACCCTCCAAGCCATTTGGGATGGGCCACACCCATAGTCCTGGCTCCTCCACAGGCTGAGGCTTGAACCCGTGGCAACATAGCGAGACCACGTGAGACCACGTCTCAATAAATAAATAAACACTACTCCTGCACCTAAATCATCTTTCTACATTTCTCTTGTGATTTGTGACTGCAGGTGATCCTGCAGAGGGTGCTGGATGAATGGATATACAGCTGTATCAGAGGACGGGACAGTGGAGACAGGATTCCAGCCCAGGTCTGTGGGGCCAACTCAATCCTAGCCCTGTACCTTCTACCCACTCCAGCCACCCTCTCTCTGAAACAGAACCATAAATGCCTTGGGGACCCCAGGGCACAGTAATGCTGACTGACTGAGATGAATGAGTCCCTTCCCTGTGCCTCAGTTTCCCTCGACTTCTCTATTCCTAAACTTCCTTGGACTCCCCAGTGCAGATGTGGCTCAGAATGGACTGGGATCCCCTGGCATAGGACTGGGAAATAGCCCCTCCCAGGCAACCTGGCTGACCCCAGGCCCCTCATGGGAGCAGTGCTCAGCACATCCGCTCCAGGGCTGTGACGCACTACGCCCTTATCAGGCTATCTGGTAGGGGCCACAGTAGCAGGCGGGGCCAAACTCTCCAAACTCAGGTCCCTCCAAACTCCTGGCCTCTCCCACGGTCCCTGCCTCAGGCAAACTTGGGAAAATGGGGCCCTCAGCCATTGCCTGCCCAGTATGTTTCCTGCATTGAAACTGTTGATATTCACAGTTGCGTGATTTTATGCCAGTGACTGCCTCTCTGGACTTTAATTTCTCCATTTGTAAGAGAGAAATCAGTTGGACCATAGAAGTGTCAAACACAGTACATGTCCATCATAAGCCCTTAGTGATCAACAGATTGACAGCAACTTTTATCTTTTGTTTTTGTTTGAGACAGGGTCTTACTAGCCAGGATTGGCCTAGAACTCACCATGTAACCCAGGCTAGCTCTGAACTCACCACAGTCTTCCTGACTCCATCTCCCAAGTGCTGGAATCACCAGTGTTCACTACCATGTCCAGCTTACTTTTTTTTTTTTTTTTTTTTTTTTTTTTTTTGAGACAGGGTCTTATGTATCCTAGGTTGGCCTTGAACTCTCTATGTAGCCAACAATGACCTTGAAAATGATCCTCCTGCCTCCATCTTTCAAGTGCTGGGATCACAGGTGTGTACTCACATGCCTGGTTAAAGCAATGCTGGGGATTGAAGTGGGTGCCTGCTAGGCAAGTGCTCTACCAACTGGGCTACACGTCCATCTTAGCAGCTATATTTTTTTAATGTGTATGAGTGTTTTGTCTGCATGTATGTAAGTGCACCACATGTATGCAATACCCTTGGAGGCCAGAAGAAGGCATCAGATCCTCCCTGGAACTGGAGTTATAGACCGTTGTTAGCTGTCATGTGGGTGCTGGGAACCAAATCCAGGTCCTCTGCAAGAACAGCCAGTGCTCTTGACTGCTGAGCCATCTCTCCAGCCCCTCCAGCAGCTGCTTTTTTTTTTTTTTTTTTGGCTTTTTTGAGACAGAGTCTCCCTGTAGCCCCAGCTGCCCTGGAACTCACTATGCTTATTTTATTAATCAAAAAAAGTTTTTAAACATTTTATTTATTATTTTTATTTTACATGTATGTGTGTATTGTCTGCATGAAGGTAAGTGCACCCATGTCATGCAATGCCTGTGGAGGACAGAAGAGGCTGTCGGATTCCCTAGAACTGGAGTTACGGACAGTCATTAGCTGCCATGTGGGTGCTGGGATTCAAACCCCGGTCTTCTGCAAGAACAACCAGTGTTCTTAACCACTGAGCCATCTCTCCAGCCCCCAGCAGCTATTTTTAATAACAATAAGCAAAATGATGGAAAGTTCCTTCCAGGCAAGACTGGCCATCCCTAAACTTTAACTGTTAGGGTGAGTCTGGGCCTTTTGCCTTAGAAGGGAGACAAAGAATACACCCTACCAATACCCCCATCCCCAGCACAGAAATTCTAACTTGCTCTTAGAAGAGCCCTTTTGAGAAATGGAGTCAATCACTAAGGAAACTAAGGCAGGATGCCCAGCAAGACTCGGACACTTCCTCCTTGGCCTTTCTCTGGGGCATGGCCCACCTCAGAGCTTACCTCAGCCCAAGACCCACCAAGAGCAGGGATAGCCAAGAGACTCGGAACAAGAGAAGACTCAGTCCCTTCCCAGGAGAAGCAGCAGCCCTGAGAGTCCATGTACCAGCCCAGTGGTCACACCTGCCACCTGCTCATAACCCTGTGCCAGGACTGGTGGCCAGTCCAGAGCTCAGTGAGGCAGGAGCACTGTTTCAGGGTAGGGTACTTCAGCCCACCAGCAGCTGCCAGGCCTCCACCCATGGCCTTGTGGCTCGATGGCCCTGAAGTTCCACAGTCAAGAATGCTCAGGGATTCTGAAGGGACATCTCAGAAAGAAGGTGGCTCAAGATTGTTGTGGTTGCTTTTACTTGAGGTATGTGTGTTGGGGGGTGTAGCTGAGGAGAGAGGGGGCACTAATTGCTCCAAACAGCTCTGCTCTTGACACAGCTGCAGTGCTGTGACACTGGCTGTTCCTGAAATCAAGGAGGCTGGGTATGGGACCAACAGCTTGAGGAATTGGGACCCTGGCATCAGGTTCCTACTCACCTTAGTCACAGCTCACCCCTAACCTCCCAGCTGGATGGGGTGTCTGACAGCCACTCCTGCCCCAGATGGGACACCAAGGGCCAGCCAGACGCAGATTCAAGGTCACCTGGCACACCTCCTCCCAAGGACTCCACACCTGTCTCAGGTACTGACACCCTCAGAACCCCTTCTGGGCTCCAGGCCAAGCAGTAGGGGACCCCCACACACACCCCACCTCCTTCTGTTGAGTCAGAATTTGCTGAGTCAGCCCGAGGGAGGCAGAGCCAGGGACCAGGAGGAGGAGAGCCCAAGGGCCACTAGCCCCATCATAACTGCAGGAGTGAGTGGCTCCAGGGCAATCTGCGCTTCCAGGAAAGCCCACCGTGGATCGACAGGTACTGGACTGGGACTCAGGCTCTGTGTCAGAGGGCCACCTGGTGATCCTCTGCAAGCCTAAACACCCCAGGAGCACAAAACATTGGGGACCATCTGTATCACGGTGCTCTGGGACTCCTTCCCAGGTCCCTGGATAGCCCCCCTTCCTTGTCTGGGGAAGCCCCACCTCGGACACCTGCCGGAGCTAAGGAAGGAAAGGATCGCACAGCCCCCTCCTCAGCTCTGAAAGGACGGGATCCGGAGATCCCTTCCCCTGCTCTGGAAGACCCGCAGGAGACTTCCCAGGAACAAAGACCCCCCCCCTTCCCGGGGGTGAGTAGGGCGGGGCATCTGCTAAGCCCAGGCACCCCCTCCCACCAGGACAGCAAGCTGCAGGGGCCGCGCCACGTGAGGACGGATCTCCAACAGCATGTTTTAGCCCAGGAGCCCCCGGCGACCCTTCCCGGAACCCAGCAGGTGCGGGGCGCACCCCTCTCCCGCCAGGCACCCGGGGGACTCACACGTCCTTGGCGGGCAGCGCCCGACCCTCCACCACTCGGATATTCAGCGTGCTGCTCCTAGCCATGGCGCCCGGCCCCAAACTTTCCAGGCAAGCGGGGTGCCCAGGTTCCGAGGCTGGACCCGGAGTCAATCTTACATGTCACCAGCTGGGAGCCTGACGCGCGGACTCCCAGCGCCACGGGTCTCCCAGCGCCACGGGTTGGAGACCAGAGTGGCCGGACGGGGGGCTGGGAGGGAGCAGCCCAGGGTCTCCGGGAGGGGGACGCACGCCGAGCCACAGGTAGCAGCGACCGGGCAAGCGTCTGCAGCTTGGGGAAGACCTGGGAAGGAGGGGAAAGCCCGGGCCCTAGCGATCCCGCCTCCCGCAGGTGCCCCGCCCGCCTGCGCCCCCCTCGCGCGCCCCCTGCCGGCACCCCAGTCCCGCGCTCCGGGTACACTGGAGCCGGGGACCTGGAGCCCGGGACCTGGAGCATCCGAGGCTTGTCAGGGGGTGGGGCCTCGGGCGGGACCTGGGCTGCTGCTGAGCTGGTATTGGGCTCCCCAAGAACCCGGGTGCCTCCCGTCTCTCCCCTCCCCAGTGCCTTCGCGCCCCTCCCATATCCCCGGCCGGCCACCCTGATACCAGCCTACGGGGTCCCGAAGTAGTACCCGTGCTGGGCGGCAGGAGGCGCTGGGCTTCTCGCTTCCCAGGGTCCCATCAGAGCGGAGGGAGGGGCCTCAAACATCCCCTTCCACTTCTCTTCGTTTCCAATTAAACCCCAGAGTGTGCCAGTGGCTGTTCCAACGTCACCGGCTGCCACTGCGGGGGAGGAAGCCGCGACTGCAGGGGGAGGGGAGGCTCGAAGATAACACCGCCACAGCCGCTGCACGATAAGAGCCATCTGCAATCCTTGAACACTTAACTGTGTGCCAGGCACTGCTTTGAGTCTTTCACGGGGATTATCTCAGTTTGGTGCCCTCGGTAGCTGTGTGCCATGCATGACCCATCTGTAGATGAAGAAACTGAGGTTCTGAGACGTGGAGTAACTTGCCAGACAGAAGCCTCCTTCCTGGTTTCAAATCCAGACTCAGCCAATTGGTAGCTGTGTGGTCTTGGATGAGTCACTTAACTTCTCTGTGCCTTGCTTTGGTTTTCCCATTTGTTCAGTGGGGATGACATGGTGTTTCTGTCACAGAGTTTAAAGAGAATTAAATGAGATGGTGCAAAAACATCTCAGAACAGTGGTAGGTAGGTATTTAATAAACTTACAGAAAGTGCTGCTGTCCTTCAAGGTGTGGCTTAAATGTCACATCCCCGGGCAAAACTTTCAGGATGCTCTTCCACCCCAGGCAGAAGTCCTCTTCCTTTTTTTCCCTGTTCCCAAAATGCTTTGTGCATTTGCAAGTTTTCAATGAGACCATGTGAACAGAAGGCTGGTCCCAGGGTGGACTCTGGCACAGAGTTACTTCTCCGTGTGTTTGTGGTTTGCCTGCTGAAGAGTATTTAGACAGGGTGGCAAGGGGCCACTGCAGTGGGTCAGCTCAGGGCTGGGCACCCAAGGGAGGGCCCTGCAGAATGAGGTCTCCTGTCACTGCCCAGACTGGCAAGACTGGGAACACCTGCCCAGACCCAGGAGCAGCCTAAGGGTCTGTGTCCTCTCCCTCCTCCACTCCCCAGAAGCAGCAGGCTGTGCCCTGAGATCTCTCCTAGCAGGTTACCGGGAACCAATCCCAGCAGGTTGCCAGGAATGAGTCCCAACAGACCAGCCCAAAGACTTAAAAAATACTGCTGAGCAGTGACAGGGGTGACCCAGGGCTGAGTCCAAAACTGTGGTAACCCCTCCCCCACCACATCTACAGTGGCCACTCCATATCTCCCAGTAGGAAATGTACAGTCGAGAAAGGATGTGACTTGCTTTGTGATCAGGTGGGGGGAATCCTCTGTCATCCCCCAGGCAGGTTCCTCCACCTGGAACATTTTGTCCCTAGGAGGTTACAGAGATCCCAGACAAGCTATCCAGCCCTGGGGACCCTGATGGAGTCCTGGACCCTGTGACATGCCAGGCAGATAGTCTAAAGTTAAGCAGGATATCCTATTCCTAATCCCCCTCCCGAGACCCTCAGGGGGAGGTGCCAGGGCTCAAGTCTGTGCCAGTCAGTCCTCTAGGGAGCCAGTTCTGTCACATGCCTGATAGCTGGCATCTGACCTTACAGTCCACCTGGGACAGGGCCCCACCATTTCCTGTTGTTCTGAGAAGCTCTGAGCTAAAACGGGCAAGAGGCTGGACTTCTGCTCAACCAACCCCTGTTTGGGGACCAAATGGAAAAAGAGCTCAGAGAGGGTGTGTGAACTGCTGGGGGTTACCAGCCAGGACAGAGGGAAGGAGCTCACTGTTGTCTTGGGATTGCCACGAGAACCAATCACGTGCCCTTACCTGGGCAGGACAAGGCCAGTTGTACCTGGCATACAGCCTCTTCCTCCCCTCCCCTCCTGCTAAGCTCTTAAGGACAAACTCATGGTCCCCTTCTTGCCAGTTCTTTGCAGGCTAGGGCCCCTCCCCAGGCCATAGACAGGACATGAAGAGGAGGTAAAGAACCTGGTGTGGTGGTACACACCTGGAATCCCAGCACAGAAGGTGGAGGCAGGAGGATCAGAAATTCAAGTTCACCCTTGGCTACTTAGTGAGTTCAAGGCCAGCCTGGGTCCTAGCTCAAAAATTTTTTTTTAATGAAGCCTTAGGTGGGGGAGATGCTAGCTCGAGGTTTAAGGCCAGGCTGCCTGGGACTGAGTTCTGCACAGGGTGTTCTCGAGCAAGTGAGTGGCCCTCTTAATTTCTGTTTCCTCCCGTGTGAACTGAAGCCACTAACAGCACCCATTTTATAGGATGCATAAGTGCCTGGAGGAAAAGTCGGATATTTAAGGACATCTGGTATACAGCAAGTGTCAAGTGTCATGGTCATCATGCAGAATCCAGAGCTCATCCCTGAGCCTGGAGGCCACACTTTGTAGCTTAGTACTGAGGCCAGGTCCTGAGGATGTGGCTAGATGGAATGCCAGGCCCAGCCCTGAATTCCAGAGTGCCTCATTCCAGCTAGCCCTGTGTGCTTCCTGTTCTGGATTGCAGATCTAGGGGAATCTGGGTTTTGTTTTGGGTTCTTTTAAACCAGTCTAAGAAATCTGATAGAGAGATCCCAAGACCAGAGTGCTTCCCACCCCATTGGGCTCACTGACCACTGGGGCCCAACAGGGAGTTCACAGACTCAGAACAGAGCCTTCACTCCAATGTCACAAGGGGTCTGGGTGGGCAGGGCTGTGTGGCAGTGGATTCCCCTGCTCATGAGATCTGACTGAACGAGCTTTCTAGCCCAGCACTCAAGAATATGACCTTCAGAACCTCAAATCATGATAGAAAAACTCATTCCATGGGAACTGGTGACAAATACAAGGTTTGGTTTGATTTTGAGAGAGGGGTCTTATTATGGGGCTAGGCCTTGAACTCTGTACAATCCTCCTGCCTCAACCTTCCCAGTGCCACCACTCCTGGGTTTTTACAATACAAACATTTAAAAAACACAAAAGGCTTTTCTCCCATCCGTCTTCCCACCCTGTTCTACCTTTACCACCAATTCCTGCCCACCCACAGAAAGCCTCTCTATCCTTCCTTCAGCTGCATCGGCATCAATGCGATGGAGCAATGTATGGCCTGTAAAAATAGAGGTTGTGGGGGATGCTGGAGAGATGGTTCATCAGTTAAGTGCCCTGGTTGTTCTTGCAGAAGACCTGGGTTCAGTTCCCAGCACCCACATGGCAGTTAGCAACCATCCTTAACTCCAGTTCCAGTTCCAGAGGATCTGACACCCTCTTCTGGCCTCCACGACCATTGCACACACATTGTGCACTTAAATACATGCAGGCAAAACACTCATACACATAAAATGAAAATAAAATTTTTTAAAAATTTAAAAGGAGTCTTGGGGCTGGAAGATTGGCTCAGTGGGTAAATTGCTTGCCCTGTAAGCATGAGTTCAGAGCCCTAGAACCAAGATAAAAGCCAGGTGTGGTTGTGCTCACCTGCGGACACCTGATGTTGACCTCTGACCTTCACACATGCTCACATGCACGAGTGCACCCCCACCCCTACACATACCTAAAGTTTTAAAACAATTAAAGGAGTCTCTAACAATATTTATTAACCAGTTATTGTGGTGCATGCCCATAATCCCACACTGTGCAGTGGGGGTAGGGGAGTGCTGAGGCAGGAAGACAGTGAGTTTAAGGCCAGCCTGGGCTACTTACCTGCCTGAAAAAAAAATCAGAACATAATTTATGCTTTCTCCAGTTTCTAAAAGAACCTCTCTCCTGAGGCTGGAGAGATGGTTCAGCAATTAGGAACACTTGCAGTTCCTCCAGAGAACCCAGCTTTGATTCCCAGCACCCACATGGTGACCAACAACCATCTGTAACTCCAGTTCCAGGGGCTCTGACACCTCACCTGGCTCTGCACTTACACACATGCAGGCAAAATACTCATACACATAAAATAAAAATAAATAAAAGAACCTCTGTCCCTTCCAACTCTTGCAACTTGGCACCCAGCAGCTGGGAAGCCCAGGCAGAGGTGGGAAGGCAGGCCTGGGCTGCATCCTCCCCCGTGCCCTGCTTGCTGACTGTCCCTGACCTTGATCTACTGATGGCTTGTTTTGTGGTGATTTGCCTCTAGTCTTATCTCCTAAATGTCAGGGACAATGCTTGTTTCATGCCGCCTCCCACACCTTTGGCACATACACTCAAAACACATTCGATGGGGTAGGAGAAGTCATTGACCTTAGAGCCAGAGACCAGCATCCCCTGTGATCCTATCCTATTGACTGTGACTTCCTCTGCCCCCAAGATGCCTAGAATAGTGGTCTGACATTCAGCAACTCACTCCTGCCCTGTACACCTCCCTTCCCACACCCAGTGGCAGGCCTGCCCCTGCCAATCCTCAGTGCCATCTGATGCTGTGGCTGGGGCAGGACAGGTCTTGACCACTGAAGGGGGCTGGGGGAGAACATGTTCTTTGTCCTAGCAACACAAAGCCTGGTTTGTCATTGCTGGGCACAATTCTGGGCAGGGTGCCACAGGAGACAGGCGGCCGTGGTGGGAGGCGTGGGCAAGATTGGCACACTCCACCCCTACCCCCGCCTGCTGCCCAGGAAGCAGGCCCAAGATTGCCTCCTCCCCATGCCTTGGAATGAAGAAATAGGAAGGGAAGTCACCCAACCATGAGACTGGGGAAGGGAGGAGTGGATATTTCCAGAGTGTGTGGGTTTGTGGCCAAGGGCAAGGCCAGCTGGGAAAGTATCCTGCTGTCACTCAGTGCTCAACTCACCCCAACAACTCCCTCAACCCAGGCTCTGCTGGGGACAGAGACAGACAGAAAGCCGAGCTCCTTCAACTCACCTTGCGGCAGGGGAGCCCCAAGCCAATGGGAAGCACCATCCCATTTCACAGAGAGGATTGCTGAGGCCCAGAAGAGAAGGCTATATACAGCTAAAGGCATGGGCCCCTGCTACTGAAGCTGATCCCATCCCATAAAAGCTATCTCCTGCCCTTCAGCCATGGGTAATCCTAGAGCAGAGATGGCTATCTCTACATAAACAGATACCAGAATGCCCACTGTAGTGCTGCACACCTGTAATCCCAGCACTCGGGAGGCAGAGGCTGGAGGATCACTACCACTTCAAAGCCAGCAGAGTGGCTGGGTTACAGAGTGAGACCCCGTTTCAAAACAAAACAAAACAGGGCTGGGCATAGTGTTGTACACCTTTAATCCCAGCACTCCAGATACAGAGAGAAGAGGATCTCTGTGAGTTAAAGGCCAGCCTGGTCTACATAGTGAGTGCTAGACCAGCTGGGGCTACAGGGAGGTCCTGTCTCAGAAAGACAAAAAAACAAAAATGAAAACAACAACAACAAAAAAAAAACCAAAACAAATAAAACCAAGGCCTGATGTAGTGGAGCACATCTTTAATCCCAGCCCTCAAGAGACAGAGGCAGGTGGATCTCCATGAGATCAAGGCTAGCCTGGTCTACATAGAGACCTGTCTCAAAAAAAGCCAAACCCCAACCAAAACAAAAACCAACTAAACAGCAGTTCCCTTGGTTTCTCAGCCCTGTGTCCTCAGAGAGCCCCCTCAGTCTTCTAGACCTGGCTCCTCAGTCACCTGAGCACTGGCCTGGGCCCTCCTGGTCTATCCAGCCCTGATTCCTTCATGTGATAACCCTGAACACCAACCTGTAGCCTGCCCTTCTCTTGTTGCCTCCGGGCCTTTGCACATGCTGTTCCCTCTGCCTGGACCACTCTTCATGTCTGAGTTTCTGCATGGTTTC